ACTGGAATAAATCTGAAAGTTCTTCGTTCCTGACGTGGTGGTTTTTGTATCAGCTGATTGTGTAGTCAAGACGAGGCAACATGCACTCACCTGGAGAAAATGGCTTGCAAAAATCTGCACAATAAAACTGTATTCACATGGTTTATTAGCAGGATGGTCACTGTAATGTATTGAGTTAAAATCTGAGAATTGAGGTGCTGAGAACTCTGAAAAATAGTTAGCAGGCCATGTGACCAACAAGCCAGACAGAGTTTTGCAGCAGTTAAATCACTGTTGTCATCAAATGCAGTGTTGACCCATTTTAATGAACAGCTGCCAATTAACATTGCATTGATGCATCCCCGTATAGGATCGAAGCTGTGTTAAGCCATCTTAAGGCTGACGGGACACAGGTTCCCATAGCCTATTATTCTAGAACCCTCTCTTCAGTGGAACACAATTACGCACAAATTGATAGGGAGGCATTGACCATCGTGGCAGGTATAAAAAAGTTGCATGACTATTTGTATGGCTGCCATTTCACAGTCTTCACAGACCATAGCCACTTCTGGAGTTGTTCATTATGAACAAGCAAACACCCCAGATTATTTCTCCTAGGATGTTGAGGTGGTCAATATTCCTGTCCGCTTATAGTTATTATCTGATTCATAAACCAGGCAAAGAAATGGGCCATGCAGACGGCCTTAGTAGGTTACCCCTACCGCACTTAGAGCCAGACCCTGCTCCAGCTGATCGCATCCTGGCTATCCAGGATTTGCCGGAGTCTCCCCTTAACACAGGGGATGTAGCTTCTGAGACAGCTTCAGACAACACGCTGAGTCGTGTGTTGAACTGTGTGCTCACAGGATGGCCATAAACGTGCCCAGAGCCTAACTTTCAGAGTTTTTGGAGAAGGAAGAATGAGTTATCCGCTCATAAGGGTTGCATTTTGTGGGGCAGTCGGGTCGTAATCCCGACCTCACTGATGGCTAGAATCCTTGAATCTCTGCATGAGGGAATCCGGGAATAGTCCGGATGAAGGCACTCATGCAAAGCTACCTTTGGTGGCCTGGGCTCAATAAAGATATTGAGGCCCAGGTCCATAGCTGCATTATTTGCTAGCAGTCAAGGCCAGAAATGCCACATGCCCTGGTCCACAGATGGGAAACCACACAAACCCTGTGGTCAAGGATTCATATTGATTTTGCAGGCCCCTTTCAGGGGCAACTCTTCCTCATAGCAGTGGACAGCCACTCCAAGTGGTTAGAGGTCGCTCCTGTATCCACTATGACTACTGCTAGGACCATCCAGGTTCTGCGCAGCATCTTTGCAACGCATGGGCTCCCTGATATCATATTTTCAGACAATGGAGCTCAATTTACTTCTGCAGAATTTCAGTTCTTTTTAAGGGCTAATATGATTAGGCACGCCATCTCGGCTCCTTTTCACCCGGCCTCTAACAGCCAAGCAGAACGCATGGTCAGAACAACCAAGGAATCCTTGAAGAGGATTGCAACTGGTAACTGGCACCATAGGCTGGCAGATTTCTTACTCTGCCAACACACAATGCCCTGCACTTCTACAGGAAGAAGCCCAGCAGAATTAAGATGGAGGTGGCGCTTGATCACAAAGCTGGATCACTTACATCCAGACAGGGTTGCTTCATAAGCACAGCAGCAAAAGGCTCCAAGGCACTTGCAAGTTGGCAAACTGGTGTGGGCATGAAACTATGGGCAAGGAACACTGTGGGTGGTAGCTGTGGTTGGTAAAGTGTCAGGGCCGTTCTCATACGAAGTGGTCCTGGAAAACGGTCATGTGCTTTGCAGGCACATTGAACAGCTGTGACAGAGGCTAGCAACCCAGCTGTTAGCTCATGATTCTGTTCAGGGGGAGGGGGAATGTGATTGTGTATCCGAGTCCCCAAGCGAGGGTGAGACTTTTTGATTGCCAAACGGAGGGTTTGCAAACAGTGAATCTGCCCCTAACTCAGGCACTTTGGCTACGGGACAATGCTGACAATCGACTCCACATGTTAGTTCGGTGAGTCCTACTCCACTGCGGGACACTGGCTCAGGTCTACCAGGACAGACCAGCCACAGAGAGATGGACCCAAGCTCGGGTCTACCTGGTCAGACCAGCTTCCAAGAATCGGCTCTACCCATGACGAACGGACACACAGCCCCGGTCTACCAAGCTTGGCAGGCGAGCTTCTAGACTGGGAGCTAACGGCAGCTCTGAGACGTTCGGAGCGGGAAAAAGGGCCACCGAAGTACTTAAATGACTACATAAGATTTCTGTCATTGTAAAATTGAATGCTTATGTATTTTTGCCATTGGAACAGTGTAATGTTTATGCACAAAGATATAACATTTTGCCATTGGAACAATTGTAATTTTTTTGCACAATTTGGTAAGTGTAATGATCTAGGGAGAAGGGGTGTAATGTATTGAGTTAAAATCTGAGAATTGAGATGCTGAGAACTGTGACAGACAGTTAGCAGGCCACATGGCCAACAAGCCAGACTTTCTGTCTGCAGACTACTTATTATGCATTTAAGTGGGAGAATACTGTGTTCCTATTGGCTGCTGCCTTTAGGCTGAGTTTATAAGTATGGGTAAAGCATTGGTTGTTAGTTTCTGTTTTGACTTTAAAAATAAAGAGAGTTGTTCTTCACCTACTGCCTCTTCAATGCCGCATCCGACAGAAAACTTAACAGTCACAATTTTGAACATTTTGTTTTGAAAACTACAAACTTACACAAATGGATTACAATGAGTTCAAGTATTGAAAAATGCAAAATTGAACAAAATTAAATTTATGTGTCCTTGATTTAAAAGAGAACACTAGCCAGGCTTTGCCAGGAAACTTTTGCCAGTGTATAGTTAATCATACATAGAGATCTCTGGAATTGATCAGTGTTATTTTCTGCACAGAGTGAGAAAGAGATGAGATGTACCTTCCCAAGTAAATTCTACTCAGGGAAAAGGTAAAACTTTCTCAGATTTAAAGAATAATCTGCATATTAGTTCTGCCTCTTACAAGAAGGGAACTATAGTTGAAATGCAGCTTTTGGAGAGAAAAGACTTTCCTGTTTACAGGATGAAACTAATGATGCCATCTGTATATAAACATATATAATAATGACACTTCTCTTCATGGTATCCAGTTGTTAAAATTAGCTCTCTGTTGCTTATCTAAAGTTCACATATTTTGCTGGCCCAGAGCAACTCCTTAGTACTGAATGACAAAAGCCATTGAATACCAAATCCATTGCAGCTTCTTGGCACATGCATGCAGAAAGGCATCCAAATTTAGAACATGGGAGAAAATTCATATGGTGATGGTGGTGGAAGCATTTGTCATACATACAGGGATGCACAATTATTTTCAGGCTGAGGACCATGCTGGGTTTTATCTTCTGGAGCCTTCATTCCAAAGAAATATGTAGAACCAAGACAAAATAAGCTTGACACAAATTAAATTTGACTTCACTACATTTCCATTTAAATATAAATGTAATTTACAGAAGATTAGAGTACAAGCAGTTAATATTATTACATCCCAAGCACTGAATAATGCATCATTTCTTCACAATAAACGTTTACAACTTCTGAGGCCATAATTAAGGCTTTCAGACAAAGACATCTGGCCCTGCAGTTGAGGTATAAAAACAATTGCTGTAGAAAGAAATCCACATATTTGATAATCTTCTGGAGTCTTATCTGCTTTTATGACAAAGGCATATCCACAGGCCCCAGATTTACAAACTGTTACTCTCTCTTGCCTAATTCTTAGCATATCAACATTCCAGGTGTCAATATTCAAAGTAAAGGTGATATCACCTTATTACAGGTAATCCTCAACTTAAAACACAATTGAGCCCAAAATTTCTGTTGCCAAGCAAGACAGTTGTTAAGTGAGTTTTGCCTCATTTTATAACTTTTCTTGCCACAGTTGTTAATTGAATCACTGCAGTTGTTAAGTTAGCAATTTGGTTGTTAAGTGAATCTGACTTCACCATTGACTTTGCTTGATAGAAGGTCGTAAAAGGTGATCATGTGATCCTGGGACACTGCAACCCTCATAAATATGAGTCAGTTGCCAAGCATCTGAACTTTGATCACATGACCATTGGGATTCTGCAACAGTCGTTAAGTGTGAAAAACGTTCATAAATCACTTGTTTCAGTGCCGTTGTAATTTCAAACAGTCCCTAAAGAAGAAATGGGATATACAGGTAGTCTGTTGTAAGTCGAGGACTACCTGTATTTCACTCTTTCAACTGCAGTCTCTCATAACTTTCTTTGTTCAGGAGCTGAAGACAATATGCATAGAGCCTTTTCCTCCATTTCCCTCTGTTCCTTCCCCCACCAAAAAATAGTCCTCATAGTTTAGGGCAGGGGTAGGCAACCTTGGCTCTTTTACGGCTTGTGGACTTCAACTCCCAGAATTCCTGAGCCAGCCATGCTGAGGGGAAAGGGAGAGGGTTCCAAGCTGAGCAATGCTTGCTCAGGAATTCTGGGAGTTGAAGTCCACGAGTCATAAAAGAGCCAAGGTTGCCTACCCCTGGTTTAGGGTGAACTTAGCTTAAACTTATCCACTTCCAGTTCAACTGTTTAACCACTAAACCACACTAGTTCCATGAATGAACATAATTTGAATTTCTAAATCATACATGATTAGTTGTTTCTAGCCTCCATCTACTCACACTAAAACACAGTCATGTATAAGACACACAGTCTATGTTTACATTTTAACCCTAAAGTATAAATATTTATAATGTACAGTATTTTTACACACACATATGCATTTCTCTCCCTCTCCCTCCCCCCCCCTCATCATTTATCTATAGTATCTTCTGTGTGTAAAGTCACAGAAAGCTCAGGATTTACTTGAATTTCCAAACAAGCCAACCTAGACCTGTTGCAGGAGAAGGCTGACCAAATCACCAGCTCTTATATAACTCTAGTAAGTTTTAATAGAATGGCAGTTTGTGGGAGTTAGGGAAATATAAGAACCTACCTTCTACATCCAAGTCAACTTTGTAGTTTATCAGATGGTTGTGCATGGTTCCAAGTGTGTACTCCCCAACCTTGTTTCCATACTTAGTCCCACCGTCCATAAAAAATGAAGAGCTGATGTATCCTGTAGCATGGACCTTGACTTCTATGGCACCATTTTGATAGAATACAAAATCCCAGACATAATCATAGTTAATGAGGGTAGAAACAGTCCTTAAGACCAAAGCATATTTGGGTAACCCCTCATAGTAAAAAGAACCTAAATTAGAAAAGTGGCGACGCAGAGGGACACCCATGTCATGTTCAAAGATGCAGAAGGAGTTCTTGTTTAGTTTGGGAGTGTCAGAGTCTATTAGATAATGCCGATTCACATAGGTGGCCATGTAGGGGCAGTCCACACCCTGGACTAGTTCATAAGAAAACTTTCCAATGCCAAGGCTACCATCCATGTATCTGGTCACCATTCCTCCAGGACAATTGGAACCATAAATGGCAAGAGCTTCTTGCAGACTCAACTCATAGACAATTCTCTTATCATTAAATCTGATATTGAAAAGACGTGGCCCTGTGTTCACATTCATCCCAAAGGTAAATTTCCATAGCTGATAGGTAACATGGTTGTCAGTTACAGCGTAGCGCTTTCCTTGGGTCTCAAACTGAAATGGGCCTAGAGGAGCTGCGGGTTCAAATCGCTTCCTGGAAGCAAATTCCATCTGCAGCTGACTACTCTTTATTCTTGCCTCCTTCACCTGTCCATTCTTGAACTCTTTTTCCAGATGGGCCATATCCTGAAAATAGTGTCCATTATAGAATACTTTCTTCAGCTTCCATTCAGAGATGTTCAGACTGCTGTGATCCACCAGCATCTCCAAGCCAATAGGATGAATGTAATATCCACTGCCAATCACATTCTGAAAGAGGACAAACCAGGTGGCTCTTTCACCAGATACAAATCCTCTAGGAGCTGTGGTTAGAGTAGCTAAATCAGACCTCTCATAATTGCAGCATATTTTGAGGAAGTTGGAGGTGTTGAAGAGCTTATGGAAAATGAACAAATCAATATCTTTATATTCTCTCTCAGTCACCGGTCTGCTGTGATATGGAATCTTCTTGCCAAATTTCCGCATTGTAATGTCTCGATGGTACATTGGATTTGGAAGTGGACCTACTACAAATTCTGTAATGTTTGGATCTAACTGACTTCCAAAGTATACCACAGCCAATGCCTGCCGGGGTAGCTGTTCCCTTCCACGATCAAGAAAGCCCAGAACTTTGGCTTTAGGTGGGAAGTACACATCCATATAGTAAATGCAATTATCTGATGGTTTTGCATGAAATGCATCTTCCAGGTACACCCCGAGATTCTTCCTGAGATACTTCACCACCTGAGTCATTTCATCAGCTGTCAGATCAGCAAAGACCTCACTTTGTTCTCTGTTGGGCCTCTCAGAAGAAATTGGTAGTTCAGAGTAGACACAGCTGGTGACTTTTTTTTCCTTCATTGTCAGCAAAACACAGACTAGAGAAAAAACAGTAGCCAGAGCTAGCACCAAAACAATAACTAGCACTTTCATGTTCATGTCAGCACAGTAAAAGAAGCAGTGATAGCACACAGCTTGTCTGTGCTTTTCTTACAGGAAAGTGTCCGGATGGGTGGATGGGAGGAAGAAAAATTATTGCTCCATTCAGAGTAAGAGGAGGGACCTGAGCTACGAATGCCTGTGGGGACTTTACAAGGGACCATAAAAAGGCAGATTTTGATTTGGTTTCTTCTTCTCCCCCCCCCCTCCCTTCCTCCCACTGTTTCTTCTGTATCTGCTTTGATACTAATCTTATAAGCTGTTCTGGACCAAGGGTGCTGGGGAACGAACTGGGCTTGGGTCCAGAAAGGTTAAAATGAAGATAAGTTAGTGCACAGAAGCTTCCCAAGAGCACTATGAATGTCCCACTAACTGGGAAGAAGGTTGGCAGAGCCAATTCACATTTAAATCCAGTCAGACTATTCTAAGCATATTGTGTTCCCATTATTTCCTTGCTTATTCTCAGGAATACAAATCTAATTCTGCCAGTGATGATCTAGTTGCCCTCTATTTATAATCTTGCTGTGCTAGTGTCTTAGAGGTTTTGATTGTGAGACTTAAAAAGTTGATTTGAACAAGACACTGTGAATTTGAATATAAAATAAGGTATTTTGGCCGGGGGAGCTAAGTCATCTAGCCTAGGAATATTTTGACTTGTAGTCCAACTACTAAAATTCATATGTCTATAAGTAGGCATATTATTATTAAATAGGAAATAATTAATATTCAATATTCCACATGGCTATGTTTAGAAGAATGAGAAATTGATATTGCTTATAAGCAATACATAGTAAGGCTCAGGTCAGTAATCAGGGTGGTTTAGGCAGGCCATACACTAACGACTAACCCTTTAAAATTTGTCTTTAAAACCCAGATAAGTTTTGGTGTGGATGGGGTGGCTCCAGGCCTGGCAAGCATTTTGAGAGGCATGTTAATAATCACAGACTTGAAAGCTAATGTGTTGTATGGTTATATTTTTTCAAGTCTATTACTATATAGTACAAGGATTTGTCATCACAAAATGACTATTTTCTAGGCATTTAAACCTCTTCTTTTAGATTGCTTTTTCTTAGGCTGTATCAGTGCAAAAAGTAACAGCGTTCAATTCCTATGTCTGAATTCTCGATCTCTGAAATGTTATTTTGAAAAGTACAGAATTTGGATCCTGAAATTCAACAAAAATAAACCCTAGAAGCGATGGCTTTGCAGGTCTAATTGCAAGTATTTATATTCTACTAGAAAAAAAGCGAAGTTTTACACACCAATGATACATGTCCCTCTGCCTAAAAGGAAATCAAGGTCCTGAGACTCCATGTTGGTCGCTTGCAAGAAATTCCCTGAAGGTGAAGCTTGTTAGTGCATCTAATAAAAGTTTCACTACATGGACTCTACCTGAATTCGGTGATTTGGCAAATAGGCAAATGGCCTGAGAAAAACAGCAGACCAAAGCAGCAATGCAATTTCGAGGATGTAGCCTGGATGTTGAAGACCAGTGAGTGAGCTAGTTTGAGATCACACTAGACCAGAAACCAGTCACAAGGTGAAACTTGCATAGCAGGTAGTGAAACCTACCTAGCCAAACAACAACCAGTTAAGAGCACAGCCGAGGTGAAAAATAAAGCATGGGGTTATTTTAAAAAGGGTCTAGATAGGAGCCTAATTGAAAGTCACACAATACTTGGATCTTGAGCCATCTGCCTCAGATTTCTTGGTGAGTATGTGAGAGCCAAGGAGTGTGTGTGTGTGTGTGTGTGTGTGTGTGTGTGTGTGTGTGTGCATGTGTGCATTTAAAGCACAATCTTGCTACATTATAATAGAAAAAAAAATTAGGGGATTAACAGAACATTATTTGTGTGCTGTCTCATCAGTTAGTGAAAACTATTTGACTGTTCCCAATCTTACAAATCAAGTAGCTTAAGGTTGCAGAGTGAAAAATCCCAGAATGTGAGAATGATAGAAAATGGGCCACAGATATATTAGAAATGGATATGTTGACTGCTACACTCAGGACTTATTAGATACGGCTTCACATCCACATAGACAATAAATCAAACTACTTGAAAAAGTTTCAATAAGTTGTTCCTATTACCTCAGGTTGCAAAGTTGCAAATTCTTTCTGCTTTGATAGAAAATATATAGTAATGTCATATATTTATTTCCCATACATTTCCACCCATATAGAGAGGTAAATTCCATCTTTTAACATAAATATAGCAAAGAATGATAACTTAAATGTATGAAGACTTTACAATGGCCACCAAAGGTTAGGGGAAGATTTAGAGTTGCCCATTCTCTAATTCAAAGACAAAAATATGGAGTGTTTAAAAAAGGACTATTCTGGAAGAATCATCTAAGTTTCCATCTATCACAGCCAGCTGGAACAGAAAGCTAATCTTTCTCCTAGGTTTGGAAAACAGTCACTAAGTATACGGATACAGAACTCTAGGATTAGTCCTAAGTATGTTTACAATTGGGTCATAATTCTAATCTGAAGTTAGTTACCAGTTTTGGAAAACCAGTTTAAATGTCCCAGTGGTTTGTTCTAGGTAGCAGTTCGTAGTTTGAAAAACTGCAATCATGAGTTACGGTAGCTTTATTATATGTGCAAAAGATGATACAACACATAATTTATTCATAAATCCTGGTTCATTGATTTTTATTGCCACATAGAAGCTTCCAAGCAATCCCAGGATACAAAACAATAGCAGCTAAACAGGCAGAAAAAAAGTTAGAAATTGGCAAAACAACTAGTACAACAACATCTGGAAGACTAACTGTAGGTTAACAAACCACATCTTAGCATAATGTGTGTTTATTAAAATAAACATTTCTTATAGATTTCTTAACACAATGTATCCACAGTGACACTGTGGTCTGTCTAGATGCAGTATATTTATCATCATCTGTACTAACTGGAGAACATGCTTGTATCTATGGATAATAGTCAGAGCAACAATAATTATGAATTCTGATAAAGAATCTTGGTCAATCCTCCTTAACAGAAGATTCATCAAAGAAACTGGGCATGACTCGCGCAGCTTTTAGAACTGAGGTATTAGAAGAAAAGTTGGATCAGCAACTGATAGAAGATTCGCAGGTTAAACCTTTGCAACAATCTTTTTTGACAGAAGATTCATTAATGAAATTGAGTACTTGTGGACCTTTTAGAAGTAAGATAAAGGTGGAAGAAAAGCCGGAAGAGCAGCTGATTGAAGAAGATATGGAGGTTGTACCTTTGCAGCAGTCCTCTTCAACAGAAGATTTATCAAAGAAATCGGGCATGACTCGTGCAGTTTTTAGAAGTAAAATAATGGAACAGCAGAAGGTTTTTCGTCATCTTCTAAGTAACAGATAATAGAAGGAGAAGTTGGAATATCAGCCGGCTGTTATAAGGAGTTTTGTTAAATTTTTGTTATTTATGATTTTTGCCTGGGAGAAGACTTGATAGGCTTTAATCTAGGGATTTAATATCTGAGAGTATCTACTATGATTTCTGTTCGAGAGAATAGTTGATAGGTTTTAATTTGGTGATTTAATATTTAAGAGTACTTATGATATATCAAAAGTGAATAAGAATGTTATAAGGTTTTGATTTGGGAGAAAAGGGTATTACATTCATTTGGGTCTGGGGGGGAAAGAGTTAAGAGCTAAGTTTATATTGTTTAAAAGAAATACACATCTCGGTGTGGAGAAGGTGGATAAATTATATGAAGAATAAATATGGGATTTAATGGGTAAATTATGATTAGAGTAGATATGATTTAAAGTATTGTTTGGATGATGAATAATTTCCGTTTTACTTATTGTGATTTAGTTTGTATTAGTTAAAGTTAAAATATGTTTGAAAAAAAATGGGTAAACTTTGATTAGAGTAGATATCATTAAAAGTATTGTTTTGATTATGAATAATTTTTGTTTTAAATTTGGCATTATTTGATTTTGATAGTTGACTTTCTTTAATTTGTTTAAATTTGTTTTGTATTTGAGTTAAAGTAACTTATTGGTTTTCTTATTTGTATAGTTGGATAGGTTTAGTTAGATTTAGTTTGTATTAGTTAAAGTTAAGTAGATTTTGTTTAATATGTTTGAAAACCCTGTGCCAAGCTCTGGGAAGTGGGGGGGAGGGGAGGTTGGGGTGGGTGGGTTTTTGGGACTGGGAGGGAGGGGGGTTGGGATGGGGGGGGTAGGTAGGTTAGATGATAGGATTAAGGTAAGATAATAAGGGATAACTTATGAGACAGATGTTGCTTGGGCATTTCCCCGGTACTGTATCCGAAAAGGGATGAGAGAGGAGGAGAAAAGTTAGGGAGGAAGTAGGATGGTGAGAGGAGAGGGGGAGGGGAGAGAGAGAGGAGGAGAAAGGCTTGGGAGGAAGTAGGATGGTGAGAGGAGAGGGGGAGGGGAGAGAGAGGTGAGGGGAGGGAGAAGGAGGAGGGAAGTAAGGGAGAGTATAAGAGAGGGCGGATGCAGTTTCGGGGGGGGTGAGCAGGCGACATCTAGGTATATTTACTTTATCTTGTTAAATGTGAAATTTCTTCTTTTTTGTTTATGTAATTGATAATTGGAAAATAAAAACTTTTTTTGAAAAAAAAAGAATCTTGGTCAACTTAATTTCATGGCATTTTAAATTTTTTTTAATCAGATTCCTAGAGCAAGTGTAGATAATAAAATATAATGTACTTGTAAATACTATTAAGAAAATCAAAAGCCTTTCCTTTTCTTGGTACTTTTTTCACTTATTATTATTTTTTCTTAATTTTCTCTTTTGAAATTTGTATTTTTATTCTTTTAAAAATTCTCTTTTATTCACACACTCACATATAAAAGTCTACACCCATCTTAAAATGCCAGGTTTTTGAGATGTAAAAAGAAATAAATCAGGCCAAGATAAATCATTTCAGCTTCTTTTCTCCCTTTGATACACATAAGCTGTACAATTCAACTGAAAAACAAACTAAAATTGTTTAGGAGAAAAATAAAACCACAACACAGTTGCATCT